ATTAGAACTTAGAAGCTCAGTCCAATATTGAATCTATTTTATTGATTTATATGTAAAGTAGAAGAAATTACTAGTTTGTAGCTTTGCTTCTTAGCTTTCAGACAGGAAACGTGTTCAGAGAAGAGCTTAATGGAATGTCAAGTCAAGGTAAGGTGAAATAATGTCAGAAAATCTATTAGTAAGATCAACTATATCTCTTATTGTTTTGTGGTCATAGCTGAGGGAAATCTGTCTTTTCATCAATGTATTGTAAATACTCTAATTGGAAATAACTTCATGGATAGTTGGTTCTTGATCGTGCCTTCTTCCTCCCTTGGAGACAGGGTCTCTTTGCATAGCTCTGGTTGTGCTGGACCTTAGATAGACCAGGCTGTCCTTGAACTGACTGATGCTCCTGCCACTGCCTCTCAAGGGCTGGGATTTAAGATGCTGCATGGATATAGTTCTTACCTTGTTATAAGGCAAAGTTGTGAGATTTGGTTTGCTCTTGCTATTTTTAAGGAAAAAAAAAATGAATTAGTGAAAAACTCCTTTTCATTGTAAGGGACCCCTGTTTTCTTTTAGTCAGGAATTTGGTAAGTGGAGCTAGAAAATACGGTAAATCCACCAGCCCTCTATCATCTTTGTATGTGCTACGTTACTGAGTGGGAAAGATTGGGTTTTGTTTCAAATGCATCTTGGAAACAAAACTTTGACAAAAGTTTTAGGTTGAAAGATTTCTGGGAGATTTTCTTGTCAGTGGCTGAGGTGAAGGTTTGGGCACAGCCTGTTTTAAAGACAACTGTACTATTAGTACTGAAGCTTTAAGGATAACCAGAAACAAAGGAAAGCTTCTGTCTCCCAAGTGATAGAATTAAAGTTGTGTGCTATCATGTCAGACTTAGTTTTTATTTATACATTTCAAATATATGTTTCAAATATCTCTTAAGTTTATACTAATGCTTTAAAAACTTATACCTGTGGTGGTGGAACCAGGACAGGTTCCAAAGCTACAGAGAATCCTTGTCTCGAAAAACAAACAAAAGTTAGTTTGTTGTGTGGGATTTGACAGCACGCACTTCACTATCAGTGCTTAGGAGGCAGAGACAGGTGTATCTCTGAGTTCAAGGACAGCTAGGGCTATAAATTGAGACTCTGTTTTGAAAAATAAAAAAATATTTTGTTAAGACTGACTTGCACAATTTAGATAATCTAATCACAAAATTAACCCTTTCACCAATAAAGCAAAGTTTACAGGCTCTAAGAATTAGGACATGAGCACATGTTTTTAGTGGTCACCATTGTCAGCCTAATCCAGATACTTATTCATTATTCTGAAAATAAGATTTAATTTTTGACCTTGGTCCATATTTGGTTTGTATCTTTTCTCAAGCTAGATCAGTTTTATTTTGATATGTAAATATAGGTAATGACAAAATATACAGCAGCCAGTATGTATCTTTGTGTATATTATCTACACAGAAAAAATGTAACGATACAAACATATTTATTTAGATTTAGTTATCGTTTGTAAGAGAATTTTAGGAGTTTTTACTAGAAAATAGAACTTATACTTGGTTAGAAGATAGAAGAGTTGATCAAAATCTTGTTAAATATAGAGACTTGCTTGCTCAGTTATTAAGAGAGGTTTCTCAAATCTTGTTTACTCTTTGAGACGTTAGCATTTGAAAAGAAGAATGTTCTAAGTTTCATAGATGCTGAGACTAGAATTTACCATAATTTTAGCCCCTATTGATGGGGTCTATAATTTTCACGATGTATTTGAGGTGGCTTAGTGATAGGTTTGTGCTTTATTTTTTTTTTCTCCTAGAAAAGGCATTTGCCTTAAGGAAGAACCTTCCAGGTAACATGATAGCTTTATTACCTTTTTAAAACAATGAAGTATGAATCTTAGATTCTTTAGTAGGGCTGTTCTGGATGTTTGCTGTGTTATAACCCGGCAGTTTTTAGAAGAAGTGAGAAAATGTATATTATGAAATTCTTGCAAGACTTTAGAAAAAAAGAGTTGACTATGATAGTTCAACCTTGTATTTTCATATGTTCTCTATAATATCAATGACCAAATAAAAAAGACATAACAACACATGCTCACAGTTATGTAGAGAAAATGGAACCGTCTTGCATTCTTACTGGATTTGTAATCATTTTGTAAAACAGATTGGCAGTCCCTAAAAACAATCACAGAATTACCATAAAACCCTGTAGTTCTTTCCTGGATTGAATCCAAAAAATTGGAGAGCCACAGATAAGATGGCTTACAAACCCAAATTCAGGTTTCCTAAGTCCAAGGGTTTTTGTTTGATAAACTTTGTCATATCGTGCATTTTGATCATTTTCTTTAAAACCCCCTAACTCATCCCATATTGTCTTACCCTCCCTACTCACCCAGCTTCATGTTCGCCCCCGCACCCAGAAAACAACAGAAAATAAAAAAACAAAAGTCAGAGCAAACATACAAACCCAATAAGAAAAAGAATAAGGAAAAAAAAAAACCCACAAAAAACAAATAAATAAGCAAAACGTGGAGTTATGCAAAAGGAGGGAGAGCAGGAAAGAATGTTTAAGAAGCTGAACCAAGCAGGTTGGTACACACCTATAATACCAGGAAATTTTCTAGGAGTTAAATTACAAAGTGAGATATAGACTATAGTTTAAGTCTATTTCTCAAAAAATAAAGAAAGGCAGGGACGACCCCACCTGCCATTATATACACAAACAGACAGAATGTTATTCACAATATTGTTATTAATTGACTAAAAGTGGGAAATTCACTATTTGGTGAATATAAACAAAATGTGACATATGCATGTAATGGTTAATTATTCAATCATGAAATGAAACATCCTGTCAGAATATAAATGAACCTTCAAAAGATCACAGTATTTGAAAAAAAATTCACACACAAAAGCGTATTATTCCATCATATCAAACAGAATTTAGATAGATCCATAGAGACAAATAGAAGGCAGGTAGTTGGCTAGGATTAGGTGCAAAGTGGACGTGTAGAACAGTGGACAGCTAATAAAAGTGTTCTTTGTAGAATGATGAAAATTGATGGTGGTAATGGTTTCATAGCTTTGCAAATATGAATTGTACACTTTCAACAGACTAATGAACATATTTTTTAAAAAATATTTATTTATTTATTTATTTATTTATTTATTTATTATATAATATTCTGTCTATGTGTCTGCCTGCAGGCCAGAAGAGGGCATCAGATCTCATTTCAGATGGTTGTGAGCCACCATGTGGTTGCTGGGAATTGAACTCAGAACCTTTGGAAGAGCAGGCAATGCTCTTAACTGCTGAGCCATCTCTCCAGCCCCAGAACATAATTTCTTTTACCACTTATTTTATAATTTGTCAATATCTAATACCACATTGAGGATACATTTTCTTTCTGTTACTCAATTGTTTTAAGCTCATTTTTAAAAAATGTAATCTATGCATGTGTGTATGTACTTAAACATTTGTTTATGCATACCACGAAGGCCAGAAAGCGATACTGGATGGCAGTTATGAGCCACCTGATGTGTGTGTTGGGAAATAAATCTGAGTTATCTTAGAAGAGCGATGTTTACTTCTGAGGCATCTCTTACTATTTAGCTTAAGGTGGTATTTTTTTTTTTTTTTGGAGGTGGTAGATTATAAGTGCTTGGTTTTTTTTCCTGTTTTATTTTAGCGTCAAACTGATTGTATATCAATTTCCTTCCATATACATAAACATGACATTTATGAAGATGAGGATACAAAACCAAAGTTAAATTGTATTAGTATGAGGACATTTGAGAGTAATGTGGTATGTTGTACTCTGGTCATTGTATGTTTTAGTATGTATATTTCTTATTTTTGTATCATATAGATATCTAGCAGCACATACTTCATGGTTTTAACCATATAATAACTATTTTGCTATAAATGCTTTCATGTCAAGTATTTTAAAAGAAGACATTAGGCAACGTGTATTCTTCAAGAGTCATCTCTAGGTTGTTCCTGGCTCAAATAGCATTTCCTTGCTCTCACATGAGTTTGTCTGAACCAATAATTTTTTATCTTTCTCCTTAACTAACAAGATGTATTCATTGGACTTGTAGAGACATGAGTTTGGTACCCAGCATCCACATTGGGCAACTCACAGTGCTGCCATCACTAGAGGATCTGATACTCTCTTTTGACCTCCATGAGCACTGTCTTCAGATGTATACAGACACACACTTTCTTTTTAAATAAATGGGGCTGGAGAGATGGTTCACTCTAGAGTACTGGCTGCTCTTCCACAGGGTCCAGGTTTGATATCTAGCACCCCCATGGCACCTCCCATCTCTCTGTAACCTCATTCCAGGGAATTCCAACCCTCTTCTGGACTCTGGGTACCAGGCATTGCATGCATATAAAAATTAAAATGTACTCATTTTGTATACTTAGTGTATACAAAACAGATAATGACGACATAGAAAGTAAGTGGTTATTTCCAGTAGAGAAATCTTGAAAATCCCTTTGTACAGATAAGCCTAAAACTTGTGACATGAGGTAAGAATTGACAGGGTTAAGCAGTGGAAGAATTTTGAAGTGGAAATGGCAGTATTATCTTCAATATAAACTTTTTCACAACTTTCCACTACATTGTGTTTTCATTATTTACCTTCAAGTTTACTTTAGGACTGTAGGTACTACAGAGATCCTTAGGACCTTATTCTAGTTCTAAATTGATAACATGATTTATACATGACTTCCTGCTTCTTTAATCACTTCTAATATATTACAATGAGAAGTAATATATACTAATACTCACCCCTTCCCCATCCTATCATCCTACACTAGAACTTTCTGAGGAAATAAACTGAAAAGGGAGACTGTTTGCAGGAGAACTCCAAAGAGAAGAACCTTCCCTAAAGTGTTTGGTCACAGTTCTTAACAGGTAGCAGCATATGATCTGGGGAAGGAGTGGTGCTTGATATAAACTCTGATAACACGATTTTTCCTTGTCAATTTTCCTCTAGTATCATCTAGACTGTCACAGCCATCCTCTCCCCAGTCGGGCTGCCCATCACCCACCATTCCAGCAAGTAAAGTCATTTCTCCATCACAGAAGCACAGCAAGAAGGCATTAAAGCAGGTAATCGTTAAGTCTATCTTTATCAGGAAAATAATCTCTCCAGTTAAGAATAGTTCTGAAAGCCAGGCGGTGGTAGTATATGCATTCAAGAGGCAGAGGTTAGCCCAGGCTACAGAGTGACAGCTTCACAGAGAGAAGTCTTGATAAAATGAGTCACATGGTGGTGGTTCATTCCTTTAGTTCTGTTGTAAAATGAACAATGATGTATCAAGATCCTGTTTCAATAGAACACTGCATCAACTCTTCTGTTAATTTCTTCTGTTAATGAGCATTTAGATTCATTTCTTCACACAGTGAATGTCAGCAATCTGCTGATTTGCTGCTAGTAATTTTTATGCTCTATGTTTATCACCCATTGTGTGTAGGTTTTTGGTTAATCCTTTTAAAGATGTTTTTGAAGACTCAGATTTTTTTCCTAGTTAAAGTGCATGTCCTGAATCATGAATAGGTGTTTAAATTTTCAGGGCTTTTTTTATGTGTAGTCTGGTAATTATTATAGGGGACTGGGGATGAAGCTCGTAGCATTACACAGTAAGCAATTGCTTCTCACACTGAGCCACATTCCCAATCCTCAGGTTGGTTTTCTTTGGATCTTATAATGATTAGGTAGTTTTTTTGTTTGTTTGTTTTGTTTTTTTACTTTTAATCTAATGTATAGAATCATATTGTTAGCTTTCCTAATATTATACTAATTGGAAGTATAGAATAGAATCTATATGTTCATTCTTTACATAGATTATATAGTTTGTTTTTTTGTGTGTGTGTGGTTGTTTTTTTTTTTTGTAAAATTTTAGTTTTAAAATCAGGCATGATGTAACACACCTTTAGTCCCAGCACTCCTGAGGCAGAAGCAGGCAGATGTCTGAGTTCCAGGACAGCCAGGGCACACACAGCAAAACTCTATTTTGATAAAAACCAAGAAACTAACAGATTTTGTAGCACACATCTGTAATCCTATCACATTGGAGGCCGAGGTAGGGAGAGAAGCATTTGAAATCAATGTGGGCTATACAGTAGCAACAGGTACTTGGCCATCCATCTATCTATCCGTTTATCTATCTATCTGTCTGTCTATCTATCTATCTAATTTATCTATTTTTGGGTCTTCTAGTGCAGTTTTGAAATGAGGAAATTTCACCCATCATTAACATAAACTGTGTAGTTGTTTATTTTATTCTAGGTTTGGGGAGAAAGTTGTAGACATCATCTTTCCTCCCTAGGTTGGAAAAATAATATTTAAGAATTATATTCCTTGCATTATACTGTGCTTTGTTGTCTAATATAATAGACTATTGATTTTTCTACTTTGAATCAATTTTGGAGATTTTTGTTAGAAAATGGACCATTTCTGGGCTAGTGAGGTTGCTCAGTGGGTAAAGGCACCTACTCCTAAACCTGAAAATCTGAGTTCACATTCTTGGAACCCACATGGTAGAAAAGAAAACCACCTCCGTGCAGTGATTCCTGACCTCCATTTCTATGCTCTCCCACCCCCAACTCTATAATTAATTAATGTCTGTTTGTTATAAAAAGAAGTAAAATTTTCGTTTCCTTTTTCATTTATTTCTTCCCATTATTAGTTGCCAGTTAAGTTTTCTTTTGGAATTTTCAAAGAGGTGGCTTTAGATTGCTTTTGTTTTGAGATAACACCTTGCTGTATTGCTTGGAGTGGCTCAGTATGTTTTCTAGGCTGTTGTGTCTCCCTTTATCACCTTTGTTCTCTCTCTCTCTCTCTTTTTTTCTTGAAATGCTTTGTCTGGCAGCATAGTCACATAATCTTAGTATTCAGGAAGCTCAGGCAGGAAGATCCTAATTTCAAGGCACCTTGGGTTATAGATCAAGATACTGCCTAGCAGCTCCTCCAAGAAGCAGCGAGTGATCAGTGAATACAAACTGACAAGCAACTAGGAAAACTTTGAGTAACACCATTTTTATTTTCACGATTTGAGTAAGAAATTTTACTTTAATCAGAAAATGACAAGTATGGTGAAAATTGTTGCTTATATATTGATATAGTATAGTAAAAAACATTTAATCATTAAGTATGTGGTTGAATGTAGGACCTCATGCATGGTAGGCAAGTACTCTGCCACTGAGCTATATCCCCAGCCACTATTTTACAGTATCTATTAAATTTTAAATGTACGTGATCTGAGAACATTCAGTTAAACATTTTAGGACTCATGTTAAAGAAAGATACACAGAAACATATTTGTATAAAAGTTTGCAATAGTAAAAATTAGGCCTAACTTAAATATTATGTTATTTGTAGGTATTGCACATATTTGTTCGTATCTGTCTAAGATAAATCAGTTAGGGGTTGTATAAACATTCTTGTTTATAAGGTGGACAGTTAAAGAGGATTGGAAGCTTATGCTGTAAAAGGTTGTTCTATGCAGTTAGGACATGAAGAAATCACCAAAAGGATGCTGTTCTAGCAGAAGACACAATTTCAGTTCCCAGTGCCCACAATGGGCTGACAATTGCTTATCCTTTTTTAGCTCAGAGATTCATAGTCCTCTGCTGATCCTAACAGGTGGTGTAGTCAGGGCACAAACACATATCTTACCTAGAACTAATGTAATAATAAAGAGTTTGGAGATAATGACTCATTGATTAAGAGTGCTTTCTCCTCTAATAGAAGACCTGGGTTTGGTTTTCAGCACCTGCATCAGGTTACTTAAAGTTTAGCTCCAATTCCAGTGGTCTGATTCATTTTCACCTCTGCAGAGATATGCACAAACTTATCATGTACTTAGATACATGCATAAAATTAAGTAATTGAATCTTAAAATGTTTTAGGGTCTGGAGAGGTGGCTCAAGGGTTAAGAGCTGTGGCAGATCTTCCAAAGGACCTGGTTTGTTTGCTAATCCCATAACTCTCTATAACTCCAGTCCCAGGGAATCCAGTGACCTCTGCTGGCCCCGTTGAGCACTGCATGCACACAGTATGCAGACATGGAGGCAAAACACACATATACATAAAAATAAATAAAATCTTTTAAAAGAAGGACTCCTGATAGAGGCTGCACTGCACAGTTGGCACAGTGGGTCAGGTGCTCCATGTACAGGTAACCATGTAAAAGTCATACAGGGCATTTTTTTAAATCTATAATCACCTGACTAGGGATGCAGAATTGGTAATTCTGTGACTTGTAGGCCATTTAGTCTAAATAGATCAGCGCAGTGATCTCTGGGGATAGTAAGAGAACCTGCCTTGAAAATGGAAGGAATCTGTTAGAAAAGATATTGATGTTGACTTTTGTTCTCCATGAATACACATATATAAATACAAAAGACCATTGCTGAGTGATTAACCTGGTGAACCATCCTCCCAGAGTATATGGACACCTGGTCAGTAAACAGGTTGTTTTTTTACAAATGATTAGAACTCAGAATTTTAAATTTTTTGAGACTGTTACTGTATCGTGCTGACTGCTCTGAAACTCACACAGATTCTCCTGCCTCTGCCTCTTGAGAACTATGATGTCAGGTGTGTGCCATAATTCCTGACTCAGAATCCATAAACATTTTAAATTATGTGAATTTTAAAATATTTAAAAGTTCTTTTATTAAAAGGTGTTTGCAGGACCAGGCCCAATGGCCACACATACAGTTGTGAGCTGCCATAGTGACGTTGGGAATTGAACGTGCATTCTCTGCAAGAGCAAGAAGTGTCCGAACTGGCTGAGCCATCTCCCCAGCCCTTTTTATGTGCGCGTGTGTGTGTATGTGTAGTGACCATGTGTATGTATATATGTCTCCATATTTGTGGTCACACGAATGTGGATGCATATTCATGTCTCCACACTTTCTGTACGTAAGCATGTATGCATATACATGTCTACATGGGTGTGGGTGCATGTTTATGTCTCTACACTATATCCATAAGCTTGACCTGTATACTTGTCTCCATGTCTATGGGCACACGAATGTGGGTGCATGTTCATGTCTCCACAGTTTATATCCAAATTTGTAAGATTTGGAAGAGGGAATTTTTTATTAGTGAATTCTTTTCATTTTGTGTGAGTGTCTGTGCCTTAGCACATGGAGGCCGGAGAACAACTTTTGAGAGTCGCCTTTCATCTATTCTGGGTCCTAGGGTTCCAACTTTGATATCCGGGTTTGGAGATTGCTGCTCCTACCCACTGAGCCATCTCACAGGCCTTCTTCCTTTTTTTTTAATGGTCATTCTAAATAATATCATGCTACCTCTATTAAAAAAATAAAAATGACCTACAATGTCCAGAAGCAACTAATTACTATTTTCAGAACCTACATTACTGTGTCATTTTCACTGTTTATTTCATTGCTGTAAGTAAGACATTATCATTTAGGCAAGTCTCTTTGCTCTTACATAGGGTAATTTAAATACTTATTAAAATAAAAGGTCTATGAATCATAAGTAATACAAATAATTGCCTTTTTCATAGAATTAGTGCAAATTAAGCTTACTGGTACATGACTTAGAATTCTGTTTTGAGAAATTATGAAAGTATGTAATTCTCCAATAAGAAGATTGTAAATTCCTTGTCTTACTGCTGATTTTTAAGTTCTGAAAAAAAAATTAATGATTTTTCTTCTTTTTATTTCTTTTTTTCTCTCTCTTTTTTTCTTTTTTTCTTTCTTTTTTTTTTTTGGTTTTCGATACAGGGTTTCTCTGTAGCTTTGGAACCTGTCCTGGAACTAGCTCTTGTAGACCAGGCTAGCCCCGAACTCACAGAGATCGTCTGCCTCTGCCTCCCAAGTGCTGGGTTTAAAGGCATGTGCCACCACCACCTGACAACATATAATGGAATAATCTTGGCCTCCAAAGTACCCAAATCCTGTAGGTCACTTAGTCCTTGTGTCAAGTGTTAAATTTAGGGTTTTGTTCATATTGAATAGATGTCAGAGTAAGTTCTCACCATAACTGATGTCACACACTTACTGTAAACCAGTTTGCTTATTTCTTACTGCTAGTTTTTCTTTATAGGCCCTGAAGCAGCAACAGCAGAAGAAGCAGCAGCAACAGCAGCAATGCAGATCAAGCATGTCCATCTCCAATCAACACCTCTCTCTCAAGACTGTCAAAGCAGCCAGTGACTCTCTACCTGCCAAACCCGGTAGGCAGTTTGACTAATCTTCCCTCCCCAATGGAATTTTCTTTCTCCTAGTTTTATTGAAATTTTGATATTGTAAGTTATTTTACTGTACTGTTTATTTATAAATTGCTCTTTTCCTAGCATTATCTTTCTGCTGCCACAAAACTGATGTAGATCCTAGGATAAGGTGTTATGCAAACCTTTAATCCCAGCAATGGGAGGCAGAGGCAAGGACAGCCAAGGCTATACAGAGAAACTTGGTCCTTATGCAAATGTATGCAACAAGTTGTTTTTTGACTTAGCCTTCCATGCAGTCTCAAAGTGAACTTGTTACCAGTGCTCTCATTTAAAATGTGAAGATGGGGCTGGAGGTTAAGAGCACTGCCTGTTCTTCCAAAGGTTCTGAGTTCAATTCCCAGCAACCACATGGTGGCTCACAACCATTTGGTCTGCAGGCATACACACAGGGAGAATATTGTATACACACCAAACAAACAAATAAATAAATAAATGTGAAGATGGGGCTGGAGAAGTGGCTCAGTCAGTAAGAATGTATACTGTTCTGATTTCATCTTCTGGTGTCTGAGGACACTGAGCATTCTTGTGGGGCAATAACATACATGCAAGCGAAACACTCATGCACATAAAATCAAAAGAAATTTTAAACATGAAAAATTAAGTATGTAGGCCTTCTAAAAATATCTACTCTTTAATTTCTGTTGGATATATTTACATAAACTTTGTATTTGTTGTTGCTTTTGTTTTTGACTTTGTTTTGCATTGTATAATTCACCTGAATACCATAAGCTGATTCTAGGGACTGCTGTAAACTTCAGTGGTCTGAGTCTTAGAGATATTTTCATTTTTGTTAGAAAAGCATTTGTGACTAGAGATAAATAATGTGAGAGAAGATGTAATGGATTTTATTTATAAAGCATTCAAGAGGGCTACATTTCTTTATTTATTACTATGGAATAATGGTTTGAATGTTTTTATTTTATCTTATTAATTATTAGGTTTATTGTTACCTGGGGAGCAACTGCATGTGAAAGTCTGGGGCTGACTTGAGGGAGTCACGTTTCTTGTTCATGTGATAAGTCAGGCCGTCAGGGTTGGTATAGCTGTCTTGCTAGCCCCTTGGTGGACTTTTATTTATGAATCCCAGTGTTACCCATCTTCAATATTTTTTTCTCCTAGCTTTATGGGAAGGAAAGCAATCTGATGGACAGTCAAGCAGTCCCCAGAACTCAAACTCCAGCTTTTCTTCCTCAGTGAAAGTGGACAGTTCTCTTCTAGGCTTGGGGAAGAAGTCTTTCCAGAGGTCTGACAGACTCCACACAAGTAAGTTAGTTTACAAAGACTGTTTTCAGTGCAGCGATGTGTTAACAGTATGCTTAAAATTCATCAGCTACTTGCTTGAGTTAATGTAAATTTTTAATTTTATTTTAAAAAGTCAGGCATAATTTCTTTCTTTTCTGTTTTTTTCCCTGTGTTATTTTCTTGTTGTTTTGAGACAGGGTTTTTCTGTGTAATAGTCCTAGCTGTCCTGGAAGTAGCTCTTGTAGACCAGGCTGGCCTCAAACTCACAGAGATCTGCCTGTGAACAAGTTAATAGAATAGAAATAAATGCTCAGAATAGTGCCTGGCACCTAGTAACCCTTCATAAGTTTGCAACTGCTGTTATTGTGGTAATTGTTACAATTAGCATTATTTGAAATAGAACTTCTCTTCTAGGCTTAACAGTATTGAAGCCCTGCTTATTCAGTGAATTCTGAATTTATTGAGTCAAGGTTATTAATCTAAAATAATGAATCCTGTGGTCGAAAGGATTGAACTGATGGCTTAGGAGTTGAGAGCCCATACTGCTTTTTCAGAGTTCGGCTCCCAACTCATCTCACTACTTTCAAAGTACTCCAGCTCTCAGGGACCTAATTCCCTCCTCTGGCTTCCACTGTACTCATATGCACACACAAATACATGCATACACATAATTTAAATTTTTAAATTAAAAATAATGCTTGTTTGGTTTTTGTTTGTTTGGTTGGTTTGGGATTGTAGACATGAACCACTGTGTACTGGTCTTTCAGGCATTTAAAGCTATTTTGTATTAAATGTTTTTTTGTTTAAATTGATCTATTGGTCTGAATTATATACTAGGCCTGCGTTGTATGTATATAGCAAGATCCTAGCCACAAAAGTAAAGTAAGATCTTCCTGATGAATTCCTCATTATTATTTACTTTATCAATCATTGAAGTGTGCTGCTAGTGTAGGTGTTAATGAACGTGCAGGCCGAGTGGTACAACTATTGCATTTGATACATTACTACTGGAAGTATGATTTGGACCAGGTGATGGGCTTCTCTGGCTGCTTAAGTGCTGAAGACTTCAAAGAGAGACAGTCTCACGACACTGCTGCTTGTTAGCAGTTACAGGCTGCTCTGTGACCGATTGTGACACTGGTCCTTGCTTAACTACTGGAGTACTAATCTTTGACTGTGATGAAACAGGTGGAGGACTAATCAAAGGTTTGGTAGGGACTGTGTTAGTCTGAGGTGTGCTTATTCTTGGAGACACATAGGATCTTGGAGATGAAGCATCGGATGTTAGAGACATTGAAGACTGATTAGGTAGCTGGGCTGCTTGAGAAATCAGAGAGGTGATGTTGAAGGCAGATGGTCCAGCAGTAAGAAACTTCTGGATGACAGACTGCAGGGAAGCTTGTGTCACAGCTGCTTCATTTAGTTTGGATATATCCACATTAGAATTAGTAAGCTATAGGTAGCGTGGCTTGTAAAGCAAGAAGCAACTGTCTAAGAAGATTTGGGTCCTGGTGATTGTGGATCAGGAGAAACAGGTACTTTTGAAGCAGATTTTGGAGGTGCAGATGTGGGGTTCAGGCCAGAGGCTGAAGATGTGGAAGGAGTTGTGCAAGAATGTGATACTTATTTGTCTCCTGGAACAAATTCTTTTCTCTCTGTTACTGCACCAGCGCAGGCTGGAACCAAGAATCTCGGCGGAGGGTGTCCAGGTTAAATGAATTCACAGAGCACGAGGTTGAGGTGGAATAGCTTTTTTATTGTTCTGCTGGGGCTATCTTTTATACCATGGCACCAAAAAAGGAGGGGGCTGCGAAGGGACTGTCATCTGACCCTAGCAGGGATCAAGGAATGATCACCATGCATTCAAAATTCCTTTCCCAACTCCAGGAGCAGAGGGAATTTATTATGTTTTCTTTGCAGATAAGCACCTCAAATGGGGGCAGGGATATGTAACTTGGGGCTGCAGTTCCCACACTCTGTTTTCTGTGCAGGGACAGAAGCTGTGGGTGTAGGCAGTTTTGATAGAGTAGATGCTCCATTAGCATCAAATGATTTCTTTGGCTGGTGATCAGACTGAAGCGTAAATGGACTAGAAGAAACAGTGTTTCGGGTAGCGGTTGGATGAGCCATTGGTTTGATGAGGTGCTGCTATACTGGCGTAGAGCTACTGTGAGTCTCTGCTCTTGGCAGTCTGTAGTCTTTGTCATTGTGTCTGCTTGTTTGAGACAAAATATTGTGTGGGAGCAAACAACTGGCATTACTGGAATGCTTGTCTTCCATCCCACTGGTGTACCCACTAGTGACTGTTGTTGCCTCACCTCTCTTCTGTAATCCCTATCTTTTAGGGAACAATTAACTGCCAATTTATTTGTTTCTTTTTGTCTCTGTTCTCTTTCAAGCCATTCTTTTGGTTTTTCTCACTGTGAAACTTCTGTGCGGCAATCGTAGTAATATTTTTTTACAGAAGAGCTAATATGCTCAGACCAGTCATCTGCAGAATCATAAGGTGCATCTGAAGTTTTTCTTGAATTATTGCTTGGATTAGAAGAATGTGAATTTGAACTATGAAGAGCACTGTGGTTATGTGAATTTTCTTGTGACTGGTCCCACCTTCCCTTTCTCTAACTCTTTGAGTATGCACGTTTTTGGCCTTGCTGTGACCTGTCTTGTCACTATATTTGTTTTCAGTACTATCAGATCTCTACAACATTTTATTTGGTAGGGAAGGATCTGCCATGTCTTGCATCTTTTCATGTCTGTGATCACCACTACTGGGGTGACTCTTTGACGAATACTTAAAGAACCTGAAAAGGCTGAGAGTCCCCCCTTTGGTTTGTGACAGCCATCACTGAGTCTCTGCTGTTTCCTCGAATACATTACCATCAATGCCCGGCTGTGTGTGTGTGTGTGTGTGTGTGTGTGTGTGTGTGTTGGGGAGGGGGAGAGCAGGCATGGAGCGGGCAGCCCCTTCACCAGGACTCAGTGCACCCTCAGTAGCTCGCCGCACCTCCCCATTACTGGCGCCAGCATTCCAGGCCATCTCCCTCCATCACCACTGCTTTGGGCGGCCGGGGCATCCTGGGGCAGCAGCACCAACAACACCAACTGCAGTGTGAGCTGGAGGGGAGGGTGGTGAGAGGCCATGCTCTGGTCCCCCGCAGAGAGCGAGCACCCCCAGCACCTTCTGCCCACCCCTCACTTTTCTTTTCTTTTCTTTTCTTTTTTTTCTTTTTAAAAGCTGAGTAATATTCCATTGTATAAATGTCTCACATTTTCTTTATCCATTCTGTTGAGGGACATTTAGTGTTTTCCAGTTTGTTGCTACTTTGAATAGTTATCATGAGCATGGTTGAGCAAGTATCTCTGTGGTTGGATAGAGCATCCTTTGGGTACATGTCTAAAGAATGATATAGTTAGATCTGAGTTAGATTGATTTCCAACTTTCTAAGGAGCCACCACACTGATTTCCACAGTGGCTATATAAGTGCTCTCCCACCAACAATGGATGAGTGTGTCCCTTATTCCACATCCTCACCAGTGAGAGTTGTCACTTGTCTTATTGGTCTTAACCATTCTGACAGGTGTAACGTGGAATCTCAAAGTAGTTTTGGTTTTCATTTCCTTGATGGCTAAGGATATTGAACGTTTAAATGTTTCTCGGCCTCTTGTGTTTATTGAGAATTCTGTTTAGATTTTGTCTTGGGGTTTTTATTGCTATGAAGGGACACCACAACCACAGTAAAAGGAAATATTTAATTGGGAAGCTTGCTTACAATTTTAAAGGTTCAGTTCAGTATCATTAGGACAGGGAGCATGGCAGCATGCAGGTAGGTTGATGCTGGTAGCATCATGTAGGCTACAGGAAGTCGACTGAACTGAGGGACACTTAAACAAGAGACCTCAAAGCCCACCCCTTACGTGACATACTTCATCCAACAAGGCCTCACCTCCTAACAGTGCCATTCCCCTTGGGGGCCATTTTCTTTAAAAACCATCACAGATCTTGTGCCTTTTTTTTTTCTTTTATTAATTTGGGTTATTTTTTGGTTTGGTCTAGTTTGGATTTTCAAGACAGTTTCTTTGTGTATCCTTGGCTGCCCTTGAACTCACTCTGAAAGCCAGGCTGACCTGGAACTCACAGATACCCACCTGCCTTTGATTTCCAATTACTGAGATTAAAGGTATATTCCACCACTTCCAAAATAGGTTGCCTTTTTTTTTTTAAATCAAGTTTCTTGATTATATTTTGGGTATTAGCCCTTTATCGGATTTATAGATGGTAAAAATCCTTTTCTGTTTGTTAGGCCACAGCTTTGTCCAAATGCCATGTCAATTGTTGGGGTTACAAATGAACACTTTGTCTCTGATATCTGTTACTCGTCTTTGATATTGCTGCTTTTTTTTTTTGAGAGACATTTATTAAAACTTATTTAAATTTTGCCCTTTCTCATTATCTTTTTTTTTAAGAATTTTTATTGTATGTGCATTGGTATAGGTCTGTGTGAGGGTGTTAGATCTTGGAGTTACAGACAGTTGGAAGCTGTCGTGTGGGTGCTGGGAATTGAACCCATGTCCCCTGGGAAAAACATCCTGTGCTCCTAACTACTAAGCCATCTCTCCAGCCTTTTTCCCCCCAGTCTCTTAAATCTCTCTCTGTCTCTGTATGTGTGAGATATAGCCTGGCCTTGAGTTTGCCAGTGGCAGATAGCCTTAAAGATCCTCTTGCTTTTATTGTCCAAGTGCTGGGGTCACAGTTGTTAGCTGCTATGCTAGTCCTGCTTCTTTGTAAAGTCTGTTTGTTCTTGATGCTTCCATTTGTTCTTTCTTTATGTATTTACATATAGCTACTCTGTATTATGTTTCACAGATGAGATATGTCTAAGTATAAATCTGTTGTTTCTGAATTCTAATGACGTTCATAGTGGCATTGTTTATAATTTATTGAATAATTTTTGTGATTGTGTTGGATTTTAATTTCTAGGACTCCTGAGGGCCTGATTTGAGGAAAATTCTTTCCTGAGAGTGACTTTCCTTGTACTTCAGCCAGGTGCTAGTGGGATTGAAGAAATATCTCTATACAAGTGTTTAAGTTTGTCAGGGGCCAGGTAAAATGACTCAGCGGCTAAGAACACTTGATGCCAAGACTGACAACCTAAATTTGACCCCTAGCATCCAAATGGTAGAAGAAGAGAATCAACTTGTGAAAGTTGTCCCTGACCTCCATATACGCTCTGTGGCTTATACCCTCCAACACACAAATGTACACACAATATTTTAAATTTAAGTATTACAAATGTTCTTTAAGATTATGGTGTAAATTTTAGTTCCACCAGAAATAATTAAATTTTTTTCTGAATTTCTACATACGTCCCATTCCTATATTACTATGTTTGCCTTTTTTATATATTTAAACCAGTTTTATTTATATTAAGTTGCATTTTTATTTTTTATCCCAAATTTTATTGCAAGATTTAATTTATGAAATGAGAACTAATGATGGAAAGATGTAAGATATCAAGATAAAAATGAGATTCAATGAAAACAGTAAAATGTATAAAAATGTACAAAACGAAAACACCACATTTAATTAGTACTACTAATCTTTGTGTTTGTGTACTCAAATCTCTTTGTGTGTGTATATTTCAAGTTGTTGCTTTTTTTGGGGGGGATTCTCAATGTGTAGCTCAGGGTTGCCTTGAACTTCAGGTGTTTCTACCTCTGCCTTTTAAATGTTGGGATTACAAGCATGTACCCTCACATCTGCTTGGATTTTCTATTTAAAAGTCTTTCAGTGGCCTATGTGTGTATGTGTGTTAAGATTGTGTACACATGTGTGGATATGTATGAATCATAGTGCCTATATGGATGTCAGGTTCTTACCCTCTGCATTGTTTAAGGCAGGGCTCACATCCCCTTATTTATTCATTCGAGGCTTATATAAATACAATATATTTTGATTCTTTCTATCCTGTTGCCTCCCCCCCAACTTTCCCTTGGTCACCCTTTAACGCTTTTCCCTCCCAATTTTATGGCTTTCTTTTTTTTTTTTTTTCTTTCTTTCAAACACACCAAGTCTAATTAGTGGTGAGGCAGGGTCTCTGCTTTTTGCCACTGCAAACACAGGTTGGCTGGCCCGTGAGCTTCCTGTCTTTACTGCCTCTCTTTCTATAGGAGCCATGGGATGATACCACACCCAGCTTTTAAATAGGTTCTGGATACTGCAATTGAGATTCTTATGTTTAAATGTCAAGTCTTTTACCCACTACCCATAGTGCCATCTCCTCAGCCAGATTTTCTGTTTCAAAAAAAGCAAATATTCTTCATATTTGTCATTTCTCATTAAGAGAGTGTGATGGTGCTCTTGGTAGTGGTGGTGCATGCCTTTAATCTCAGCATTTGGGAGGCAGAGGTAGGCGGATCTCTGTGAGTTCAAGACCAGCCTGATCTACAAGAGCTAATTCCAGGACAGGCTCCAAATCTACAGAGAAACCCTGTCGTGGGGGAGATGACATTTCTGAGATCTTTAACTCTCACTTCTTCAAAGTGTACTGTTTAATTTTGATTCTTTTTTACTTTAGATAATGACAAGCTATAGTTAGGATCAAAACTGTGAAAGGAGAGCCCTGTGATGAATTACTGTTTTCTACTTCTCGTAGGACAAATGAAAAGGACTAAATGTGCTGACATTGACGTTGAGACCCCCGACTCCATTCTGGTTAATACTAATCTTCGAGCACTAATTAACAAGCACACCTTTTCACTTCTTCCTGGAGATTGCCAACAGCGCCTACTTTTACTGCTTCCAGAGGTGGATCGACAGGTGCGTTACATCAAGCACAGGAGGTTTTCTGATTAAATGAGACTTCTGGTATTCATCACCTTTAGAACTCCACAAGATTTCAAGAGAGAACCTCATGTATCCTAGGCAGGACTTAAACTTACTGTGTAGCTGAGGATATCTTAACACTACTTACACGCTTTACTTGTTTACTTCCTGAGTGTAGGGTAATAGATGTGTGTTACCATGTCTATTACATGTGTTGCTAGAGATAAAATCCAGGGCTTTGTGTGTTCTAGGCAAGCATGTCTACTTCTCAAGATTTTTTTTTTTTTTTTGATTTCAAGACAGGGTTTTGAGTCCTGGGATTAACCACTGCCCGGCTAGTTCTCAAGATTTTTAAAAGTATATTTTTATGTGCTGTGAACAAACATACCAGATAAGGTACCACCAATTAACAAAAGAAAAACCAAAACAAACTCAGTATGAAAGGCAGGCATTTTCCCTAACATTTAATAGCAGACTGTCTTCCCTCATTTATAGAAAGACACTTACAAGGTGAGCTGCACAAATCAAAATGAAGACTTTCTTGGGTGTTTTTGTTTTTTGTTTGTTTGTTTGTTTTTCTTCCTTGATTTTGAGATAGGGTTTCTCTTTGTAGCCCAGGCTGTCCTGTAACTTGCTCTGTAGATCAGTCTAGCCTAAAACTCAGATCTGCTTGCCTCTGCCTCCTGAGTTTTGAGATTAAAGGTGTGCACTAGTCTGTTTTCTCTGAGACTTGCTTTCTTAGTTCTATAATTAGCATGTGTGATGAGTCCTTTTGGATAATTCAGATAATCAGGTATCTTTCCGGCAATAGGGATTAAAGGAGAGCTGCTCCTAATGACTGTATTCTCTGCTGTATCTCTTTCAAGAAAAAAAAAGTTACTTTGGAGTATATTCATCTAGTTAATTCTTGGTAGAAGACTGAAGCTTCAGCATGTTTTTAAAGACCTGGTGTTTTCATGGCTCTTTTCTTGTGGGTGTTCTCGTGTCCTGTTTTGTGTTGTTCCCACCCCTCCAAGAAGAAGTGTTGGCAGGATAATAGGCTAGCAATAGGAAACATGACTGCTAGCTATTTGTGGAGGTCTGATGTTGTTTTCTCAGAAGCACTGCTCACACTTTCTGCAAGAAGGTTGCCACAGGTGGTTTGTTGTTGTGTTGGTATTAAAGTTTTTTTTTAATTTTATGTTTGTGATGTATATGCAGTGTATGTGTGCCTGATGGCTGAGGTGGCCAGAAGAGGACCCTGAATTATGATGGTGCAAAGCTGCCATGTGGGAGCTGGGAACCAAACCTGTGTCCTCTGAAAGAGCAAAAAGTGCTCTTAACCACTAGCCATCTTTTTCTATCTCCTGCCATGTGTATTTTTCTAGTTCAAATTCACCCAGATTGGCATTCCTACAATGTTAGTTTGTTTGTATTTTTTGAGAGGAAGCTAGTTGGTCTGTCTTTGAGCTATGGATTCAATAAACAACATGAATGATACTGAGTAGATTAAGTGAATTTTACCATATAGTTTCAATGTGAATAATGTTTATGTTGAAAGTATTGTAAATAAAGGTTTCGTTTGTTCTAGTTTTTCAAGACAGGATTTCTCTGTGTAGCTTTGGAGACTTTCCTGTGACTAGTTCTATAGACCAGGTTGGCCTTGAATTGGAGAAACCTGCTTGTCTCTTCCTCCCTTCTACTGGGATTAAAGGTGTATACCACCACCAAATCAATCATGTAAACAAGAGTATTTTTTTTTAAAGATGTATTTTATTTACAGTATCCTGACTGTAGGCGAAAAGGGGGCACCAGATCTTATTATAGGAGGTTGTGAGCCACATGTAGTTGCTGGGAATTGAACTCAGGACCTCTGGAAGAGGAGCCAGTGCTCTTAACCGCTGAGCCATCTCTTCAGCCCCACAAGATTTAAGGATTTGAGTAGCACTTTTTCCTGTATATTTTATATGAGTCAAATGTTTTTTTTTTTTTAAAAAAAGAAACAAGTTAGAAAATAATTCAGAGTTTAGATGTATAGATTTAGAAAATTTCTTTTCATTAAAAATTTTCTCATGGCCTGTGGTTTAGTGAGTAAAAGAATTGACAGTCAAACCTAACAACCTGAGTTCAACCCTAGGACTCACCACAGTGCAAGGAGAGAGCTAACTCCTGCAAGTTGAGTTGTCTACTGACCTCCACACAGATGTCATGACACATTCTGGGTGAGCACATACACAAACAAATATGAAGAAGTGTTAATCCAGGAGTACTAGGAGCAGCAGGCAGTTGCTCAGTCCAAAAGGGGTGAAATCCTATCTCCACCCCACCTTATTACTTCCTGTCTCCACCTCCTTAGTGCTGTGATCAAAGGTATGAGCCATCACTGACCAGCTTCTATGGTTAACTGGTAGCTAGCTCTGCCCTCTGATCTCCAGGTAAGCTTTATTTGTCAGAACACAAACAAAATATCACATAATACAGACGTAAAAAATTTTGTCTCCCAGTACTTTGTAGTCTATCCTTGAGATACATCTGTAGCCTACCAAAAAAAGAATTTAAGCCTTGTTACAAAGCATCAGAAATGAATTCAGTAGATATGTGGAGGGAAATGCATCAGTAACCGTTCCTCACAGTTTGATAAAACTGCAGCCAAATAGAAAACAAAACTAAGAAGGCTATGAGAACCATCACAGACCTACATGTTTAATAACCATGCAGCAACAGCAGAATACACAGGAGTCAGGAAAAGTCAACCATTTCAACCCTACCCCATTGACAAAAATTAAATTACATGTTGATGCTTGTTTGCAAGGAAAAGCATATTGTATGTTCATATATTTTTTGTAGCTTCAACCTTTTCAGAAAGTAGTATAAATATCTTCTTACAATCTAGTCGTATTTTGATTTAGGAGCCCAACCCTTGGAAATAGCTGGGTGTGTTGACGCGCGCCTTTATTCCCAACGCTCAGGAGGCAGAGTCAGTCATATCTTTTTGAATTTCAGGACACCTTGACTGTTAGACAGAGATACCCTGTCGGGGGGCGGGGGAGTGGGAGAAAATCACTAGTACAGCTAGACAAGATGGCATACTCCTTTAATCCCAGCCTTTGGGAGGCAGACTTCTCTGAGTTCAAGGCCAGCCTGGGTTACATAACAATACCCTGTTTCAAACAAAGAAATAAAACAAAGAAATAAAACAATAAACGTATTAATATATTCATCTGCCAGGATGTTTGTTGCAGCTTTATTGATTATGGGAAAGCATTGGTAACAAAGTGCATGGTTACCATTAATTTAAATCCATTCATACAATGAAATAATATGCAGCAGTTTCAGAGAAGCTAAATATATACCAGTTGACTTAAACAGACATTGTACTCTGTGAGAAAGCTAAAGTTAGGGCGTGTTTTATATCATTTGAACCCAGATCTGTTAAGATAATAAATTCTATTCAGAAGAAAACATATATTTATTTAAGTATCATTCAATGAAGAATATTTTTCCATCGTTATGGAATGGAGCTGAAAACAGAGAAAGGAGAAGAGATATATGAGAAAAGAATGTTTTTGTTAGTTTTTTTTTTTAATGGAAAAACGTTACTATGGTTTAAAAAAACAGCAGTAAAAAATGAACTAACCGTGTTTGGGTTGGTGTCTTTGTGTCTTTATTTTTTATTTATTTATTTTTTGAAGGCAGGGTTTCTCTGTGTAGCCTTGGCTGTCCTGGAATTCACTCTATAGACGAGGCTGGCTTCTAATTCACAGAGCTGCCCCTGTCTCCCCAGTCCTGGGACACCATAATTCTATAAGATTGACCTTTGTATACATTAAATTGAAGTGATATCATCATACCTTTTCTTTGCACATTTTTCCTGGCTTGCTCTTTGATCTAGGTTGGTCCAGATGGGTTGATGAAATTGAATGGCTCAGCCCTTAACAATGAGTTCTTCACCTCTGCAGCTCAGGGCTGGAAGGAAAGACTCTCAGAAGGTAAGTGTTCTTTCCAGGATTTGTGAGCTTAGGTAACTGGGACAGATTTGGAAGGTGAATGTGTTAGTTAGGGCTCTCTTGAGGAACAGAACTTATAGAATAAATATATACAAAGGGGGTTTATTAGCAAGGCTTGCTGTGGTCCAGCTAGTTCAGCTATCTACCAATGGAAGGTCTAAGAATCCATTTGATTTTCAATATACTCCAGAATCCCAAAGTAGCCTGTAATGCCAGCAAGAGCAAGAAGACAAAGCGAAAGCTTCCTTCTCCCAAGTCCTTTATATGGTGCCACCAAAAGGTGTGGCCTGGATTCAAATGAGTTAGTTAAGAAAAAAATTTCTTGACCGTTGTGGCCCAGCTTAGTTAAATCCAGATGTATTCTAGTTGACAATCAAGAACTGCCATTATAATGAAGGTCAGGAAGTTTTCTAAACAAATGTTTTTCTGTTCTGTGTGAAACGTTTTTGGACAGATTGTGAAATTTCAGTAAGGGAACAACTGATTCCATACACTGTTGAATACACTCATTTGAAGTAATAGGGAACATTTAAGGACCGTGATTTAAGAATTACTGGTCTTGGTCACTTGTCCTTGTATGTCAGATTTAACAGATTTACTGAAGGCAATAATAGAATATTTTATAAGTTACTGTTTTGAATATTCTGTGTGATATCTGTCATTGATCTTAGTACTATGTGTGATATCTGTCATTATTGTCTTTGTTACTTTTCTAATGCCCTGACAAGAAATCATGACCACGTCATCCATCCATCTATCCATCTATCTCCTTCCTTTTCTTTCTTTCCTCTTTCTCTCTCTTTCTGTCTCTTTTCTTCCCTCCCTCCCTCCCTCCTACATGGTTTCTCTATAGCTTTGGAACCTGTCCTGGAACTCACTCTGTAGACCAGGCTATCCTCAAACTCACAAGATCCGCCTTCTGAGTGCTGGGATTAAAGGTGTGTGCCACCACAGCCCGGCTGACCGAGACATCTTATACAAAAAAGCACTTAATTGGGGCTTTGCTTTCAGCTTCAGACGGTTAGTCTATGAACATCATGCCTGGGAGCAAGGCAGCGAGCAGGCAGACATGGTGAGAGTTCACATCTCAAGAGACAGAAGCCGGCAGATATCTGTGACTTCGAGGCCAGCCTGTTGGAGGAGGCCACTTGTTGGTTTCCGACTGCTCAGCCCTGAAATAATCACACAGAAACTATATTATTTAAAACACTGCTTGGCCCATTAGCTCTATCTTTTTTTTTTTTTTTTAGCTCTATCTTTTTTTGGCTAACTCTTACTTCTTAACCTATTTCTATTAATCTGTGTATTGCCACATGGCTGTGGCTTACTGGCTAAAGTTCCGGCATCTGTCTCCGGCAGGGCTACATGGCTTCTTCTAACTCCTCCATCTTTCTCCCAGAGTTCAGTTTAGTTTTACTTGCCTACTGCTATTCTACCCTATCAACATGCCAAGGCAGTTACTTTTTTAACCAATGTTATTCACAGCATACAGAGGGGAATCCCACATTACCAGCCGAGTCTACAGAGAGAATTCCAAGACAGCCAGGGCTATACAGAGAACCTTGTCCCAAAGGGAAAAAAAGTAATAAAAGTAAAGTACTCAAACAAGTTGACTTTGAAGAAGCCCACCTTTAAGATAGCGATACTCCATGGCATTATTTATGGACAGCACATTTGTCACTCCTGGTTGGCGGGGGGTGGGGGGACGACTTGGGAGGATGGTGCTGATAAATGAGGCAGACTCAAGTCTTATGCAACAGCCAACTTTAGTAAGCATCAGACAGTTTATATTCTGACGGTTAAGAGAAGTCACATGATTAATACATCCAATCACAGTGGCAGGCTGCACATAGCAGGCCAACCGAATATGTAAAACCATGTTTTCCCATAGAGGTGTGTAAACAAATAACAAGAATAGCTTTTGCATAAACACCCAGAATTCTCCTCACATGAATCCAACACACATTCATTACTTTCATTCCAATAGGAAATAAACTAAAAACTTGAAGTTAGAGGTAAAAGGAAATCTGTGTGAAATATGATGTTTGTAACTGGAAAAAGGCGCTTTGGGGAACACCTGGAGAGCAAGCGCTGTGGGCTTTAGCTGCATACAGAAAACTTCAGGGTAGAATGTGACTATACTGGATGCCACCTAGTAGTGGTGTCCTGTCTCCTGTCTGTCTAGGTTCTTTGGGAAGCTTGTTGCTTTGACATGATAGTATTTTGTTCCTGTAAGAGTCTTTCATGATTAAATTTCATGAATAATGCTTTTCTGTTTATTGTCATTTTGTTGATACATTGCAGGTGAATTTACTCCTGAAATGCAGGTGAGAATTCGTCAAGAGATCGAGAAGGAAAAGAAGGTAGAGCCATGGAAAGAACAATTCTTTGAAAGCTACTATGGTCAGAGGTAAGATAAGATAATAAGACTTATCTTATTATCCTACACGTGTAATGTGATGCCTCCACTTTTTTACCTTATTAGAAAGTCTAGCTTGGTGGTGGTGCACCCCTTTACTCCCAGCACCTGGGAGTCAGAGGCAGGAGGATCTCTGTGAATTCAAGATCAGTCTGGTCTACAGAGTGAGTTCCAGGATAGTTAAGGCCACACAGAAACCCTGTCTAATCAGAATAAAATTGTAGTGGAGACATTTAATAGACAGTAGAGCCATTTGGTTTAAATAGGATTGCATAGTCCAACTCCTGTTTGTTAGTCTCCCTTGCTTCTTTGTACGTACCTGTAAAAGCCAGCAAGAGAACTTCACTGATCACAGACTGAGAAATAAGTACTTTTTCTTAGCTCCAAGTAGTGTTCATTGATCCCCCTCCTTCCTAATCATTTAAGATAAACTCCCTACTGAGCTAGCCAGTCAGTGTTGGCACATGCCTTTAATCCCAACATTCGGGAGACAGAGGCAGGCAGATCTCTGAGTTCGAGACCAGCCTAGTCTACGAACTTAAGGACAGCCAGGGCTACATAGAGAAAAAAACCCTGTCTCAAATGCTGACTTTTCAGGATTCAGCTATAAAGTTGGTGGTGAGTGTATATTATAAGTTACAGTGAGTCTGCGAGTGCATGTTGCTACAGTGTGCTCTTGGAGGACAGAAGAGTTTGGGAGTTGACTCTTCATTGACATGAGCTCCCTTGTTAGAACCTAGGTGATCAGGGAAGCATTTCTTCTTCTGAGATATCTTGCTGACCCTAGATAGACTAATCAGTAATTTTTTATTACTAATTCTGTTAAGATGACAGGGTTTCATTGATCATTGCTTTTAAAAAAAAGAAAGAACATTAAAAAAAATTATTGGTGGCACTTTTTGGCAGACCACCCTGTGTAAACCACAGCTGACTTTTACCTGTGGATAGCTCAGCAGCATGCAATCTCAGATCTTTGGATCTAGACTGAGTGCGGTTTAAACAGGCTTCCTATAAGCTCAGTTCTCAGTCTTTAGGTTCTTGTAAGTAGCCTGTGAGTCTCTAGATAATATGGCTCCTATATAAGCAGAAGTGACAGTAAGTTACCACTATAGAACTTTTATTGTGTGCCAAGTGAAAATGTCACATTCAGTACTTCATCATTGCAGTTTTGTAAATTTTAATTCTGGTATACAATCAAACAAAGGTGCAGAAGCCTAGTCATGTAGTATCTTGTCCACAACTATTACCAGAATCAGGATTTGAATTTAATTACTTTGACTTAAGAGTTCTACAGAAAATACTATGTGTCAGGGAGTTCCTAGTTACTGATATAGTCTACTTTTCTTGTCTATTAAGTAATGTGGACTATATTTCCCATATAACAATATTTCCTTCAATTTTTCAGTTCTGGTTTAAGCCTTGAAGATTCACAGAAACTGACAGCTTCCCCTAGTGATTCCAAAGTAAAGAAAATCCCTGCTGAGCAACCAAAATCCATATTTCCTTCAGAGGCCTCTCCAGCCAGAAACTTCTCAGTAGTTCGCCATTCAGAGTGTAAAGAAGAAGCAGTGCAAATACCATCACCATTCAGAAAAGAAGAAGAAAACCAAGAGGAGGCACAGCCAAACTCTACATCCCCAGAACCCATCCTTGCGTCAGCCAGCGATACAAACGAGCTTATCACCATGACGTCCCTCAAGTGCCCTAAAGATGAGGGACTCTTAGAGCAGAAACGAGTTGTCTGTGCTGAACAAGAGTCTGAGAAAGAAAATCATGTCACTATAACTTCTAATTATAACAAAAATGAGAACCAAGAAGTGTTAGCTACATCCCCAAGCAAATCCAAAACTTCTGGGTTAGAAAAGCCTATAACAAAGCCTGTTGCAGAAGCTGGTCCACTGGACCCAGATGTGAAGATGCCTCCAACATCTCTTACTGATCAGATCCCAGAAAGTCTGAAAAGGAAATCTTCTCTTACCCAAGAAGAGACGGCTTGCAGCTGGGAGAAAAGACCACGTATCACTGAAAACCACCATCACCATCACCAGCAGCCATTTCAGGTCTCGCCACAGCCCTTTCTTAATAGAGGGGACAGGGTACAAGTGCGAAAAGTACCACCTCTCAAGGTAAGAAAGTGTTCGTACTCGTTAAATTTCATGACTTGTGGTATTAACATAAACACAGTAGCATGTTTAATGTACATGTAACAGTGATATTATAGAAATGGTAATAATCAGGCTCTAGAACTGCATCCCTCCAGTTCTTGATATTGGAAAAGGATCCTAAGTATGTAAGCCAGCCCAGCAAAGTCTCGATTCTTAAGTCAGGCTGGCATTGAATTCTCAATCTTTCTTTTGTTTGTTTTTGTTTTGTTTTTGCAGGGTTTCTTTGTGCATCCCTAGCTGTGCTGGAACTAGTTCTGTAGACCAGACTAGCCTTGAACTCACAGAGTTCTGGCTGCCTCTGCTTCCCTGGTGCTAGGATTAGTGCCACCATCTGTTGTATTATATTTTTCTCTTTTTGCTTTTTTTTTTTTTTGAGGGGCCTGCCACCCAGCTCCCAAGTAAATCACACACACGGGAGGCTTATTTTATTACTTCTGAATGCCCAGCCTTACCTTGGCTTGTTTCTTGCCAGCTTTACTTAACTTAAATAATCCTGACTACCTTTTGCCTGTTAACAGGTTTCTGCCCCACCTGGTCCTGCAGCCATTCAGTTCCAAAGAAACACACAGAAGCCTACATTAATTATAAACTGGTTGGCCTATTAGCTTAGGCTTCTTATTAATTAACTATTACATCTTAAATTAACCCATAATACTTGTCTGTGTTAGCCACACGACTTGGTACCTTTTATCAGTGAGGCATTCTCATCTTGCTTCTTCTGCGTCTGGGTGATGACTGCAGACTGAGCCTTTCCTCATCCAAGAATTCTCCTGTTCTGGTCACCCCGCCTATACTTTCTGCCTAGTACTAGAGGTTGCTCCTATTTCTTACATTTGGATTACTTATAGAAGGTCGTTTGCCCCCCCCCCCCCCAATTTCTTGGGTTTTGTTCTCTATTTTTTCTGTTTTCTTCTGTAGTCTGTTCTTTATATAACAAGAGGCAGTAATTGCTTCTTTCTACTCCATGGAACTTCTAAACTACTATGTGCAAAAAATGTTGCCTAAGTTTGTATAACTAAGTATTAAACAAACTTGTTTTGTTGTTTTTGAGTCAGGGTTTCAAAAATCCTTGTCTGGAACTCGCTGGCCATCCTGTTACTTACTCTGTAGACCATGCTGGCCTCACTCAAAGATCCTACTGCTTCTGCCTCTCAACTCTTGGGATTAAAGATGTGCACCACTACTATCTTGCTAAACAACCTTAGTGGGTTTTTGTTGTTGTTGTTGTTTTGGTTTTTTTTAAGATTTATTTATTTACTTCGTTAGAATGGTTTACTTAAATGCAGGTGTGTGCACCATGTGTGTGCTTGTTGGATCCTATGGAATTGGAGTTCCAGGTGGTTATGAGCCATTATATGGGTTTTGGGAATTGAACTCAGGTCTTTTGTAAGAAGTGCTTTTAACTATCTCTCCAGCCCCACAAATGTACTTTTTAAGTACATGAATTCATCACAACTGTTATAAAATACTACCCTGATTTCTGATGTATAGAGAATTGATTTTAAATACTTAGGACTTTGAGTAATGAGAAATAGTGACTTTAGAATTATTTGTGATTGAAGGATTTTCAAAGTTAGTAGTTTATTATATTTTTTTAAGTATAATACTTGTTTTTCTAGCCATTCTGATTCATAAATGGGGGGTAAAAAGTTTACACAAATAAGTACAGTATTCAGTAGGGGTGAAAATGCTTGGCACATATTATGTATATGACCCATTATGTGGATAGACAGTGGGGTCGAATGCTTAACACAGTATGCATTGTGCTCGTCTGTTATAGTCAGAGCTGAAATTGATCTCGGCTCCCCACCTCATTTTTTCAGATCCCGGTCTCCAGAATCTCCCCGATGCTGTTTTCTACATCGCAGGTCTCTCCCAGGGCTCGTTTTCCAATCTCCATCACTAGTCCTTACAGAACAGGAGCCAGAACTCTTGCAGACATCAAAGCAAAAGCCCAGTTGGTCAAAGCACAGAGGGCAGCAGCCGCAGCAGCCGCTGCAGCTGCTGCAGCCGCCTCAGTTGGAGGGACCATTCCAGGACCTGGCCCTGGGGGTGGACACAGTCCAAGAGAGGGTGGCGAAAAGAAAACTGATGCAGGAGGGAGTCCAGGCTCAGACAGAGTCAGTGCAACTGGACAGGGTCCCACACTGGAACTGGCAGGAACTGGAAGCAGGGGAGGTATGCGAGAGCTTTTACCCTGTGGTCCCCAGCCTGAGACCCATACACCAGGCCAGTCCCAGCCTCCTGGTGTCTCTGGAGCACAATTACAGCAAACCTCCTCAGTGCCTACAGCACACACCATCAGTGGAGCATGCACAAGCCTCCCATTACCTGCCCACATAGAGAAACTAAACAGTGGAAAGCTGAACCCCCACCAGGCAACAGCCACACCAGCCTCTCCTTGCCACCCAAAAGACATGAGTAGTTACAGACAGGAAAAAGCTCCTTCTCCAGAAGGGCCTGCTCTCATCTCAACAGCTTCACCTGTTTGTTTTGTAGCTGATGGCACAGTTGAACACAAAGCAGGTTCTAATAAGAATGCACCAAAGCCTTCAGCCTCAGCAAAGGCAGCTGCTTCTGCTCGACTGGATATGACCTCCCCCTCTGCAACATCCTTATTGACAAGAGCCAGTTTAGAAAAACTCTCTGTACCCCCAGTCAGTGGAACTGCAGCATCTACTGGATCAGCTTCATCCTCAAGCACTTTGCCAGTGGCTTCTAGCCTTAAATCCCCAGGAACTTCTGCAAATATGAACGGACCCATTTCAAGACCAAGTTCTAGTATCCCTGCTAATAATCCTTTAGTTACTCAGCTGCTCCAGGGCAAAGATGTTCCCATGGAGCAAATTCTGCCTAAACCTCTCACCAAAGTTGAAATGAAAACAGTCCCAATGACTACAAAAGAGGAGAAGGGGGTAGGAGCATTCCCTGGTACCAATGTGATGGAAGGCAGCACCAGAGAGGAAGTTAATGGCAGGCAGGCGTATCTGGCTCTCCAGCAGCTGGGGAAACCCTTGCAGAGTAAACAGCTTCCCCAGGTCCCAAGGCCAGTCTTCGAAGCTAAGGACTCTTGCAGTGACACTCACCAGTACCCAGAAGGACTAAGTAAAACAACTCAAGATCAGCTTTTTCAGACTCTCGTTCAGAGGACTCAGAGACAGAGCGTTCTTTCATTTGTGCCACCCTCTCAGTTCAACTTTGCTCACTCAGGTTTCCAATTGGAAGACATATCCACAAGGCAGAAATTTATGCTGGGCTTTGCTGGCAGGAGGACATCCAAGCCTGCAATGGCAGGTCACTATTTACTTAATATTTCCACCTATGGCCGGGTTTCAGAGAGTGTTAGGAGGACCCATTCTGTAAATCCTGAGGAGCGATTTTGTCTAAGTAGCCCCACTGAAGACTTGAGAATGGGCTATGCAGATTGTAGAAACACAACTGGAGACAGCAGCAGCAGCAAAGACGATGAAACTGATGAAGAGAGTGTGGGAGATGAGAAGGAGCCTGTGTCAGTGAAGGAGGAGCCCTGGGCTTCTCAGAGTTCTGGCAAGCATCTCCACAGTGGGGAAACTTCGTCCACCATTGATTGTTTAGCTAGCAAGAATGGTAAGGCTGAGGCAGCGATGAGTGAGCAAACCACTGCAGGCAAGGAGAATTGCATGTTCTCTAGAGGCCAAACATTTGATGAAAAGACCCTACCCAGAGATTTTATTCAGGCAGCACATAAACAAATGGCTCACGGTGTGAGAGGTAAGACAGTATGTAGCAGCCCCGAGATTTTCAATTCTACTGCTCTTTCTCTCCCTGCAGACAGTCCCACACACCAGCCTCTACTCCTTCCGCCACTGCAAACCCCCAAATTGTATGGAAGCCCCACACAGATAGGGCCAAGCTATAGAGGCATGATTAATGTCTCAACCTCATCAGACATGGACCATAGCCCTGCTCCACCAGGTAGTCAGGTATCTAGCAATGTAGGGGATGTTATGTCATTTTCAGTGACTGTCACTACCATCCCTGCTAGCCAAGCTATGAATCCCAGCAGCCATGGCCAGACAATTCCTGTTCAGACCTTTCCTGATGAGAACAGCATTGAGGACGCGCCTTCAAAATGTTACTGCCGGTTGAAAGCCATGATCATGTGCAAGGGATGTGGCGCTTTCTGTCATGATGATTGCATTGGGCCCTCCAAACTGTGTGTCTCCTGCCTCGTCGTTCGGTAATAAGACTACAGCAAATGTAAAAGGAGGGAAGGGTAGGCTTAACAAGACGTATTCTTGCACCCTTTTGAAATCACAGAAATAAAGTTTCAGTTGTCTCAAGAGACATTAATCAGGAATGCAGAATGCAGGTCTTCACATTGACAGGAAGAGCACCTTGTATAGTAAGTGAGTCGAGTAGGACTATGAATTGGTGACAAGTTTGCACTTAAAAAATCATGTAAATATGTCACATTTTGTTTTAACATTGTTTTCCAAGAATTTAGGTAATGATGTGTTAACTTCACATTCAGATTTATGTTCCATTTCTTTTGACTCTGAAAATAGTTGAGTGGTATGCATGGTGAAAGGAAACTCTGCCTCTGTCCTCTCCTAGGGTGGTGAAAGGGAAAGAATGGTCAGGAAGTGACCATCATGCTGATTATGTCTTCACAGATAACATGCCTTTGTGGGGTTTAGATTAGGGTTTACTCATCCCTTCACTTTAGGTGGAACCATTTCAAGTGGAATTTTTAAAAGGTATTCACATCCCAGTGTTTTTGATCCTGACAGTCCTGAGTTACCTTTTGCCTTCCATGAATCAGTACTGTTGTCAAGCAGAGCTCTGTTTCCTAGTCAGTGAATGTTATTTAAGAAGGGTCTGCCTCCAAGGGACTCCTCTATTAGTCTAATCTGTGCATGGCATTAGTTCCAGCAATAATGCATCCTGATACTGCATCATTCATGGGTTCCCACAAACAGGTCTGAAATACCAGTGTAAAATAAAATGCACACACGCATTAGTGATTGGTGTGTGTGTGTGTGTGAGAGAGAGAGAGAGAGAACACGAGAGAACTGTGTGTCTTGTTGGCAAAGGAATGAAACTGAAAAAACTTAACTGAAACTTCAGGAATTTGAAAGAATGATTTTAACATTGGACACAAAAAAATATTTTCCTTTCCTATTCTATCTCAAAACAATTCCAGGTAGAAATGCTCTTCGGTGGTAACCTCATTTCTGCTTTGACATTTTGACATCCCAGGCATGAGATGATGATGCAGTGATCCTATGCCATCCTACCACACCACATGTTTGCACCTCATACAGTGAGAAAGAAGACAGTTTGCTGTTTCTGCTTTTCTAGAATTTCTGCTGTCTGGACAGCAAGGATGCCTGATGTGAAAGGGCGTTATGAGTGACTAATCAAATACCTGGCTGTGAAATTTCACAGTTTTTCTTTCTTTTTTATTATTTTTAAAATCCTTTTCCCAGCACCCTGGATTCAGTGGCATGCTGATCTCTGAGTTCAGTGCCAACCTGGTCTTCATAATGAGTTTCAGGACAGGATATAAAGAAACCTTGTCTCCAAAAACATAAATTAATAAATAAGTTTGTTTTTAAAAAGAATAAAACAAAAAATAAAACCCTTCTCTAGTTGGTGGATGTGGTAATACACAATTCAAATCTCAGTGCTTGGGAGTCAGTCGGGCGGGTCTCAGCCAATATGCTCAAAAGTAAGTTTATGGCACACAAACACTGTCTTTAAAACAAAAGAACTAGTGACAAACTTTAAGTGAATACTGCTTAAATCGCTGTAAAGGACGGTTTAAGGAAAACATCAGTTCATCTGATGTTCTAATATCAAATAGTCTGTATTGACTGATTTCAAGTCTCTTAATTTGAAGTGTGTGATGATATAATATTGCAACCCCATACAGGTGGGTTTCAAAAGCTATAAAACTCAGGACAATTTAACTGTTCATACATCACAGGAAGGAGACAGGAATGTGTCTTGCCTGCCGTGTGGTGCTCACCCCTGGCCATCACACACATGTGCTTCCTCAGTCTTTGCTCTAAACTCTGTGAAACTCACTTTTCCTGCTCTTGTGGCCCTAAACAGTTACAGGCTCACATCCTGTGCTGCAGAACCAGACAAGACAGTGTGATGTCTTTCCATCTTCTTTTTATTCCAGTAAATGCACAGCTAGTGGAAAACAATGGCTGCGAGAATTGAGGGTTAAGAAGTACATACGTTCTGAAGTGAAGGAGGAGAAGGAAATAGTAGCCAGGGTTCTGGTCCCAAACCTTCAGGACCATGGGTAGAAGACTCTTATCTGAGTCTTATCCTTGTCTTATCCTGCTGGAAGAGGGTGAGTTTGTATTGGTGAAAGAATTTCTATTTTCTACCTTGCTTACTAGGAAGATTTTGCTCACTGGTTTCCTTAATCTGGGACTGGGCGGGCAGGATCGAGGTATTAGAGACTGTCAGGTCCATATAAAGACCACATAGTTCCTCTTACCTTGATCCAAGCTCCAGCTGTATAAGGACCAAGTATTGCTCTTCACCTGACTCCACTAAGTAAAACCCAGCTAATTTCCATCCTCCTATTCCAAAAGCAGAACTTGCCAGCTAGGTACACTGCCTCAGACTTGACAAGAACGCATTTTTTCTTACATTGAAAATATATTAAATATGAATCTATTTAAATGGTTTGTTTTAAAATATGGTTTCAGATGGAAGAGGAACACTCATAAATGAACAGGGAAAAAAATAGTTGAGTCTGGCCCTTTAAGTTGAATTTGGTACTTCAGTAAACGTTAACACATTTTTAATCATAACTTTTTGGTAGTTTTTTTAACCTTTCAGTTAACATGAAATGGTTCAGTGTTTAGCTAATTCTTTGGGCAATTTCCAGTGAGGTTTTAAATATCACACCTGATACACATACCAGTATGCCCTCTCCAGCCTTAAACCACTTCTGCAAGTCACCTCTGGGAGAGTATTCATGATGCATCATCTCAGGGTAATTTATAAGTGTTCTGAGTTGCCTAAGATGAACACTCCCTGAATCATAAAGAATTTTTTTTAAATAATCAATTCTTTATCCTATTAATTTAAGGGGGAGCACAAATAACATGGAGTTGTTTGTCCTGCTTCAGTTCCTTAACCCCTGTGCTCAAGACACTGAAGCTGCACCAGTGTTGTATGTGGCATTTCTTAAGAGTGAGAGCTGGCGAATGTGGGAGCTTTTCTTGGGGTGGGAAGGCTGCACTTACCTGGGTATAGAGATGTGGATATTTGAGAGTCTATCTCAAATGTAGATTAACAGCCAAAGGAAGACCTCACTGCCTTCCAGGTGAATGTGTGATGTCCCACATAGAACGGGCCCATCAGTTACCGTTCTCTTTGCTCCATACTGCTTTCCTCCATGTTAGAAAACTTCAAAGCTCTTTGATTAAAGGGTTTGTTAGAAAGAGGGATTCGCTCTGGTCACATGTTTGTTTTAGAGCTCATTGCTAGTGAACAGTGTCAGTTTTCTCTCTGGCATCACAGAACAAGGAGAAGGAAGCTTCCTGTTGCATTACAGCAATGTGTACTAAGTGGAAAACTTGGCCATGGGTAGTTTTGCAGCTCAACTTATAGAACAGTCCAAAGAGACTTTGTGAAACATGATGACAGGCAGGGACCTTTTCCTATGTTTCAATACCTAAATACCTATTGAACAAAACAGTAGGTAGACATTTCCTAAAGTTGAAGCAAGAGCTTCATAGAGTCTTGGTTACTTTATTTTTTTTAATGCTTTACATTTGATACAACTATTAAAGATCAATTTTAAAATAACTTTCCAGTAATATATTTTAAGTAATATATATTTTAATATCTATGTAAAAAGTGACAGTAGAAGACAGAATTTCTCATATATGGTATGTTTAATGTAGGATCTCATTGCTAAGGCACAAATTATTTCAAAAGAGTTGCTCTAAAACTACTCAGATTATTCCCCCCCCCAAAAAAAAGGAAAGAAAAGGAAAAATGCAATAAGGGGAATGATTGGGGGGCTTTATTTTTTATTTTAAAAGAAAATTGACTTATTTACCACAAACTATTTTTCCCTCACTGGTGATAAGGTTTGTACAGACTGGTTTGGTAAATGCTCAATTTTTGTGTCTTTTGCCTTTTTAAAGGGATTGTTAACATTGGAATTGAGGGTATGTACAGAGAAGTTGGTGTCAACACCATTTAATAAGTCATATTTTTTCACAAATAAGGAAAAATCATTTTAATAAGAATTTTAAGTATTTGCAATAAATATATGTATATAGATTGTATGTATTCATATATTATTTTTCATTTTATTATTAAGTAAAAGATAATTAAAAGTGAAATTTAAAACCTTGTAGTTTTTTGATGAGTCTTGAGATCTGACATTTGAATATGATGTGGGAAAAGACCCTCAAAGAGTTGCCTTAAACAGTTCGGGGAGGGAAGGTCACCACAGACTGGGAGAGAGTCACTGAGGAACTTGGTATTAGCCAGAGTAGTGAATTTTAGAACTTAAGTAAAAATATTAAAACTTCACGGTTTATCTGTTGTGTTTTCGCCCTCATCTGTCCTTTCTCTGACCACCGAATGTCACTGAGAGAGTGAGGAGAGCGGTATTCTCTTGTAGTGTGCCTGTGGTTTCTTCTACACCACGGAAGGTAAGGATATTTGTTAGGAGATACAGGCTTTCTCCAAAGTGGTTGATGCATTGCAATCACTACATACCAGACCAGATGTTGAAGAACTAATCTCTTAAAGATACAGAAGGCTTTTCTGTTGCCCAGTCATTCTCGGAGGTGAGTTAATTCATGACCTTCTTGACTGATCTGGGCAGGGCAAAAGCTAAATCTGTGTCGTCAGGAACATCTGTGCTTGATTAGGGTGAATATCCACATAATTGTGAGAATGGCTTGAGATGAAAATAGATCTCGTATAAAATAGGAGTAGTGAAGGACTGGGATGAAGTTTAGTGCTCTTGCTCTTGAGTGCTGGTGTTAAAGATACATGCCACCAAGCCTGACTGCATAGCCTTTTAAAAAGTATCTTGAGCTGGGTGGTGGTGGCAGATGCCTTTAATCCCAGCACATGGGAGGCTTAGGCAGGTGGATCTCTGTGAGTTCGAGGCCAGCCTGGTCTACAAGAGCTAGTTCCAGGGCAGGCTCCAAAAGCTACAGAGAAACCCTGTCTCGAAAAAAAAAAAAAAGTATCTTGAAGATTCCATCATCCAAGTTAATGTAAAATCATGGAAGTTAGTTCAGCTGTCCAAGAGGATAGCCTTACAGGTCTCAGCTGAAAGTACTGTTTATAACACAAGTTTCTCAGTGAAAGCACTTGCTGCCCAAGTATGAGAACTTGACTGCACGACCCCAGCACCCACATGGAAGTTTAATGTTTGTGGCATTGGCCTGTAATACCAGCACTAGAGAAATTGGGCAAGGCTAATCGATCAAGGTTTCCTGGCCAGGTTCTAGGTACAGTGAGAAAACCCTGTCAGGCGGTGGTGGCGCACATCTATAATCCCAGCACTCGGGAGGCAGAAGCAGGCTGATCTCTGTGAGTTCCAGGACAGGCTTCAAAGCTACAGAGAAACGCTGTCTTGAAAAACTTAAAAACGTGGAGAATCGACCCAGATGAACATTCCAACATGAGTCTCTGTCCACTACATGTGAGCATACAGGCAGGTGCACTTGAGTATGTGCATAGTGTGCAAACACACGGGAAACTCCTAACTCGGGAGATACTGTGCCATAATTTCTACTCATTAAAGTAATGAAGGTGAAATAGCTAAGTATTCTGTCTATTAAAATAACTCCTATTTATGTAATAGTACATATTGAGCTCAGTTACATCATAAGCAAGATGCATATTCCTGTGATATGGGACTTTATTTATTTTCCACTGTCTTGGAAACCTATGTTTATTGCTTCTCACACTGCTTTATCTTAACTGAATTTCAGTCACATTGAACACTCCTTGCCTTTTATATACAAATCCTGTTACTTAAGTGTTTACTTTGTGCTAGTTATGCAAGAATAAGAAATTTACCTCAACAGTTTTTCTTAAGATTGCAACCATGCAGCACTGGCTGTAGCTTTTACTGTCCAATTAAGGCTGTGTTTCCCGAAATAAGTATAAGTGAGTTGTAGAATAGAAGCTTTGAGCGCCGGACAAGGCAGTAGTGACATGAAAATGTGCCCCAAGGTGAAAGCAGCTAATGTAGACCTAAGGAGCCACTTTAGTAAGATGTCTCGTTTTGGGATTGTTGGAATAGAGAGGCTCAATAACCAGCTGAGGCAAATGCAGCATTAGGGAATTTTTAATGTCAAGTTTCATATTCTTGCTGAGAAGAAACTGAGTCCCTTCATTTGAATTTTTTTTTCTCCATAGTGGATGAATAGGATCACTTTAATAAGTAATCTTAATATTGTAGAGTTGCCCTTAAGTCACAGAATGAAAATGCACTTCAGCCTTTTTTCTTAGGCCCAAGTGCTATTTCTTTAGGAGTGTCTGGGAGGTAAAAAGTCATAGTCAGTACTTGCTCTTGAATTTTCCTTACCTCTTGAAGTCTTCAACCAGATGATTGGGCTCATAGCCTGATTCTGTATCTACACTTCAAAGGGATGCTCAGTATAGTTCACCAAGCTCTCCAGGAGCCTTGGGACATGTCACAGGAGTGAGTACTTTCACCCTTGCCCTGAGAAGGGGCGTTCACACCAGAGGCTTTCAGAAGAGAAAAGAGCCCTGACGAAGCCAAAGCTGAGGTGTGGAGGCCAAAGCTGAGGTGTGGAGGCTGTGACTCGACCGTGGCGTCTCCAGAACCTCAACCTCATTCTTCTAGTTTTTGAAACTCAAAGAAGCTGAGGTGTAGAAATAAAAGTAAAAAACTTGATTTTCATCTCAACTGCAAAACTTAAAGGATTCCTTGGGGAGAAGAATAAGGTTTTTAAATGGATTTAAGTAAAATTTCAGTGCCTTACTCTTTAACAAGGCCTTTTTAAAAGATTCATTTTCACATGAGTCACCATGAATGTTGCCTGGAATTTGATTTGGGACATGGACTAAAAGAATAGTTTTTGTGAATTACAGCAGCTTTTGCCGTAAGTCGGGGCTAGGGCTATGTGTCTGTATCTGAACTTCATAAACACTGTATTAGTCCCATTTAAACCAACACTAAGTATTATTAAATTTAATTGAGATTCTTCTGATATCTGAAGATAAGTTTGAATTTATTTCCTTTGGAACGTGTAGCGTATAAATTTATTTTAAAAACCAGAGTCTAGCTGGGCAGTGGTGGCGCACGCCTTTAATCCCAGCACTTGGGAGACAGATGCAGGCGGATTTCTGTGAGTTCGAGGCCATAATGGTCTACAAGAGCTAGTTCCAGGACAGGAACAAAAAGCTACAGAGAAACTCTGTCTCAAAAATACAATAAATAAATAAATAAATAAAAATAAAAACCAGAGTCTAATGTTTTCAGATAACCTAAGGTTTAGAACTGAAATTGGAGTTTCCCCTTCAAGTTAGCAATTCTTTTCCAGTCAGGTTTTCAGGCAGTATTAACATGTAGAGACTTCAGTACTAACCCTGCTGAACTGTCTATTAACACTTCTTAATGGAGTTCTGTCAGTCACTGGCAAGTGGTCAGAGGAGAGGAGGGTATGGTTGCAAGCCTGAATGAAGTGCCCAGCAATTGATAGGTGAAAGATGAGTTCAAGGTCATCTTCAGCTGTAGCAAGTTCAAGGCCAGACTGGGCTATGCAAGAGCCTGTCTCATGAGGGAATATCCTGGGCTGAGAATAGGACAGTTTAAGCAAACTTGTTCCTGAAAAAAATACATGAAACTTTTTGAGCACATGAAAGCTGTAGAATACATGACAAATGGATCTCCAAAAGATGAAAATCCAGGAGCTGTGTGTGCTCTGATGTGTTTTCAGAACTCCTAATCCAGTGAGTTTCTCCAGCACACCTTTCACCAGCACCAAGGGAATCAGAAGAGATGGGCCTTAGCATAACTTGTTGGCTGAAATCCCTGTGCGTGTAAGCCTCAGCACTTGGACTCACGAGCAGTCCGCCTTCAACTCTACACCATCATCCGTCCCTCTCTCTACTCTTTCTATTGGTACTATAGACGCCGTCTTGAAAGTCAAATGTATGCTACGGTTCTGTCTTGATGATGCCTGTTGAATAAAGGCATACAGTTTTAACTGGAATTGTTGTGCCTTTTCTTTTCTAAAGGCGTGGAAAATGGGGTGCATGGCTTACTTGCTGCTTGTCTCTTTCCTAGTTCATCACATAACTAGTGTTTCTTTAAGACAGATTCAAAAGGAGTTCAGAGACTTAATTTGAGCCTAAACCTGTCCTTTAAAAACAACAGGAAAAAAAATGTTTAGATTGGCTTATTTCACCACCACTGTTGGGAGTTTGGGGTTTTCATTTCTCAAGATTACACAGTGTTTTTCTAGACTGAGTTGCAGCACTGTTTGGACGCTTTAGCAAGCTGTCAAGGAATCCATTATAGTACTTGGTCCACCCTTGCCCAGAGTCCTCAGATAGCCAAGGATGAAAACTCCCTAAAGATTGTATGGACTCACAGCCAGAAATGCACCTTTACAACTTGACTCTCAACCCTAATACCAAACTCCCTCCCCTCTATCAAAATTTACTTCCCGTTGGAGACAGAAGGGGAAGGATCTTGTAGGAGACCACAGGTGGCTTTGCACTACAGGAAATGGGGCTGCAGCTGTCACTGTTATGAGAGAACAGGTGTCAAGATTGAGGTGCAATACCCCAAGATGCAGATAACCCTTGGCTTAAAGACAACCAGGAGGGGCTGGAGAGATGGCTCAGAGGGTAAGAGCACTGGCTGCTCTTCCAGAGGTCCCGAGTTCAATTCCCAGCAACCACATGGTGGCTCACAACCTCCTTGCCAGCAGTACATTATATGCTTAATAAATAAATCTTAATTAAAAAAAAAAAAGACAACCAGGAGAGTTGACCTTGAATGAGTTTGGAGTGAAGCAAGAAAGATGCTAGCTATTCAGTTATGCCTGTAGATGCCATGTGGATCATTAGATCCTTCAACTGGAATAAAGACTGATCACAATAGGGTTGTTTGCGTCTTACACTGTTCCTTCCTGCTGGTCATTTAGATGCAGTAGATGGTAAAAACTAGGATGGACTATGCCACGGCTTTGAATGCCCAACACATGATGTGAATGCTATAATGTTTCTAGCACTTTTTTCCGGGTAGAGTTGGTGCTAGTAATTGACAATTTGCATAGTTTGAATGTATATGAACGTTCCAGTCTTAAGTATTCCCATGTGCTATAGAAAGCCTGAAGTCTGGGGGGTCGGGGGGAGCCGAATGTGATAGCACACACCTTTAATCCCAGCACTCAGGAGGCAGAGACAGGTGAATCTCTCTGAATTCGAGGTTAGTGGGGTCCACAAAGCAAGTTCAAGGACAGCTGAGACTGTTATGCAGAGAAACCCTGTCTTGAAACCCCCCAAAAAACAACCTCCCCCGCGGCGAAAAA